GGCTGCTTGCGCTTTTGGCCTGCTGCTGGCACATCAGGGCCGTACTGCCACGCCCCTGCAAGCTCGGACACGCTGGTTTTGATGGCCTCGCCGAGAGTCAAGCCTTCAGGGCCCCTGGTCAACTCGACCCAGCACAAGCGATGGCGCTGCTCAATGTCTGCGACCACCTGCAGACTAGGCGCCCGAGGATGCCACAACTTCTCCTCCACCAAGTCCAAATAGTCATCAGCCGTCTGCTTCGAGCACCAGCCATCTACGCCCACAAGGACGTAGGCATTCATGAGGACGGTGAGCGACAACCAGAAGCCATACGCAGTGGCTGTCAAATCAGCTCCTTTGGCGACGCCGTGCTCCAAGAAAATGCCACTGCCCAAGCTCTGGCCTGGCAGGGAACGAAATGACAAAGCAATCGGGCGGGAAATCACCACCACACACTGGTAAGGCGACAGCAAACTTCCACAAAACAAACTTTAAAAAAACAAAAACCGGAGACACTCTGCAACAGCAAGTCAAGTTGAATCTTGCCACACTTGAGAAGGTTGCTCCGTGGAGCTTGTCCGACACACACACACAAACAGGGGGTCACCAAACCAACCCAAAAAAAACAAAAAAACAAAGCTTCGAAGCGCCAAACGGCGACTGAGGCCAGGACGCTCTTTGGTCTGAGGGGAGGAAGCAAGGCTACGCACCCGACTCAGTGGAAAGGCCGTGAGGCTTTGTTTTTCGCGCTCACGGTAAATTCTGCCGAGCAAGGAGTCGCAAGGCATCTTACGAGCGCGGACGACCACACCATAAGCAGCCAAGCTTTTAGCTGTCAAGGCGTGCTTGGTGGTTGGGTTCAAAGGAATTTCCCAATCTTCTGGATAGTACCAGACAAGGCGCGTTCAGCTTCGACCTTGGCCCTTCGCCACCCAGCTCGGACGGCAGACAAGTCACGAAGGCTGGTGGCCGGAGGCTGGATTCTGGCAGCAACCGTGGCTTCCAACTCATCCACGTCTTTGACACAATCAAAAAACAAAGCACAAGTTGTGAGACCCTCTGTTTCTAAGAACTGGGACAGTGCTGGCGGCGCGCCGCAATCTTTCAAAATTTCACTCAACACGCGTTCCAACGGCATCAGGGAAGGAGGAGTGGAGGATGGAGGAGAGAAAAAAAAAGAATTGATCTGCAAGTGGCTACGGTTCAACTGCTTCAACTGCTGTTTTAGTTGGCAACGGCTCGCAAGCTGGTTGCCTCTCACGAAATTCTGCTATGGACGCCTCCATCGGAGAACACTAGCCAGGTAAGTTTCAACTGCTTTGACCGCTTCGACTAAGTGATCCCGCGCAAGTACAGTTCCAGCCCTAAATCATCCGCGCCAACCAAACCTACCCACTGCTTTACATTAGGTCTGCAGCCGCACTACGTTTTGAGCTCGTTGTCAGGAAATTGCGCCATCTGTACATCTGAGGTCCGGACAGGTTCGCAATGAGAGAAATATATGGAGAGCGTTAAAAGTGTTAAAAATGGCACGAAACTTTCCGCAATGAGATGAAAACGTTGGGTTGAAACAACAAAAAACAAGAGCAATACCCAAAGGCCAGAGCAGGAGAAGACCTGACTTGGCCCAGGATTCCTGTCAAATTGAACCGCAACCGCACACACCAGCTCGCACAGCAAGGCTGAGGAGGCAGGCACAGTGAGGGAAGCGAGGAGTTCAAATCAACGTGATGCAGTCAACTGTCCTACACTGTCTACACTACTGGAGGATTCCCGGCTAGAGGAATCCGAAGTTGAGCCAGACGAAGCAGCGCTAGAGCTTGCCTGCCGTGTCTTGGACCGGCCTTGTCGACTGGGCTGGCTCGGCATCGTACCAGCATCAGAAATTAAATGAGAAATGCGGTCGGGGCTGTACAAGCACCACAAGACGAAAACTCGGTACCATCAGGCTTCACCACAAAAAAAGTCTTTGGTGTTCGGGAGTTTTGGCCGAACTTCCAACCACACTTGGTGATACCAGGCTGGGCAAGGATATGCAAACATCGAGGCTTGCCTTTCCGGTGAGGCTCGGCGTTGGCTACCCAGCCTGTGGTCATGTCCCTACCGTCACCTTGAATTGGCTCAAATTGTGGCCGCGGCAAATCAGGCAGAGGCGGCGGAAGCTCAACAGGCAAAGGCGGTGGCTCAAAATCTTCGCCAGGCCGCCAGCCTGCAATGACCTGCGACGAAACCTGGGCCTTGCACGCCAATTCCGAAACGCAGCGGGAAGTGTCATACCGCAGCGGTTCTGCACTGTTAGGCCCCCAGTGACCGAGCACCCTTCTGGATTCAATTGACATCAGCATTTGCCCTGCCAAGGTTGGAAAAAGCGGTCTGCAAGCATGTAAAGTCAACTTGCGCGCGTCACCCTCGGTCAAAGATAATGGCGGAAGTTGCAAAGCCTGACGCAGCAGACCCACACCGCAGGAATAGGTCGCAGGTTTCGGCAGCGGACTGTCCAAACGAGCCCCAAATTGCGGCAATACATAATCTACGACCATGCCACGCTGAGCTTCAAATGCGCCAAGAGTTCGACCAGGGAGTCCGCCCAAGGCTGAGCAGAGAAGCCGGCCCGCAGAGCTGCAAAAGGAAAGCCAGTTCTGCGCCGCTTGGATCTCCAACAAAAGCCATACAAACTCGCTTTGCCCAACCTGATCTTTTCTGACCGCTGCGCATCAGAAAACCGCAAGCAGGCATGAGCCAACAAACACCCCAGCAGAGCACCCCATCGAATGGCCAAAGGCTGTTGTAGGCTGCACCCAATCGACTCCAGGTGCTGCAGCTGCTCCACTGTCAGGCAAGGAAGCGTTTGCTGTTGAGCGGCGGAAGCTTCGACAGCCGACCGCTTTGACACCCTGCAGATGGCCAGCACCGCTGGAAGGTCCAAAGGCCACTTCAACAACAGCGCGTCCGACAGCAATTTCAACCCCGACCGCAAGGATGTTGGCACAGAGCTGCCGCCATGCGCACTGTCAGCAAGAAATTGCGACAAGCGAGCACCTGTCAATTCATGGATGGAAATGCCGTGCGAAACTAACCATTTCTCAAGCCGTTCGACTGCCCGAATCGAGGCTCTCCAAGTACTGATAGCACCACTTGCCCCCAGAAGAATAATGCGAAGCAAACGCGTGACTTCGCGTTGTCTTTCAACTCTGACAACAACTCGGGCAAAAGGCCAGCAGAGAGTCCAACGCGCCAGGCTAGCGCGACTGCCCGGTCCAAGGCTGCAGACAAAGCCTTGTCTTCCAAACTCTTCGCCGAGAAAACTTCCAAATTGCCAGAAGACACTGCGCCAGAGCAAAGTGGCACAGCACACACCTTCGAGATGCGAGGCCCACAGCGGGCCCAAGAATCAGCAGCCGAGTGAGCCCTAGTCCAGGCAAGCGCCAACTGAGAAGTTGCCTGAGCTGAGCATCGGTTTTGCTCGGCAAAGAACTGCAGCCGGTCAAAGGAACAAAAGGCTTCTGCCAACAGTGCACCGCTATCGATGCCTTCCTGTTCAAGAAGGGTGTGCAGTTCATCACATGGCTGGGCTCCACCAAATGCCCAAAGAAGGCGCGGACTCCGATTCATCCGAGAAAAAAAGAATTGATCTGCAAGTGGCTACGGTTCAACTGCTTCAACTGCTGTTTTAGTTGGCAACGGCTCGCAAGCTGGTTGCCTCTCACGAAATTCTGCTATGGACGCCTCCATCGGAGAACACTAGCCAGGTAAGTTTCAACTGCTTTGACCGCTTCGACTAAGTGATCCCGTGCAAGTACAGTTCCAGCCCTAAATCATCCGTGCCAACCAAACCTACCCACTGCTTTACAAAATTCTGGGGGGAGTTGGGTGTGTGGCAAACATGTAGGCTTAAAAAGTGTAAGTTCAGGCCTGCCAGTTTGCAAGTTACATTTTGCAGAACCCCCAGCCCTTCGATCTGCCGACGCACCCTAGGTGGGGGTGGTGAAATGTAAGTAAACACGTGCCAGGCCACAAGTTACATTTTTTTGGAACCCCCCTCCCCCCTGTACCCGCTTCGATGGTGCCTGGGGGGGGTAAGTTACATTTTTAAACCCCCTACAACCCACCCTAAAATGTAACTTACTTTTTTGAGGTCCCCCCTCCCGGAAGTAGCTTACGGGGGTAGGGATGTCAGAAGATATGCCGGAAGTACTGTCAGAAAGAATGTCAAATGAAAGAATGTCAGAAGATATGCCAGAAAGAATGTCAGAAGACATGCCAGAAAAATGGCAGAAAGAATGTCCGAAAATATGCCAGAAAGAAAATCAAAATAGTGTTTCAATACGTGCAATAAATGTTGTTAGATTGAAATGTCATGGTGGGGATCACTCAGAGTAAAGATTGTTTGCGCAATGACAATAAATAGAATGACCACCCATGCAGGCGTTGGCGTACTCTAATAAGACTTGCACGGAAATGCTTCGATACGGAGGTTCCAATCACTCAAATTATGCTTGATGTGCTGTCTTTTTGCGGGAACCCGCCCCCTAAGTCAACACCAAATCAATTCACAGGGCAGGGAGATAACAATTGGTTCTGTCATGATTGGGGGAGGGCCTTTTGGAGTGATATATCAATTCGATCGTTTGCAACTATAAATACCGACCCTCCCCTGCAAACGAGAACTTCAGCAAACCTACTTCAGAGATCGCTTTCGTGAGCCAAGCAGGGGAAGTAATTAGAACTGAGTAAAGGTTGACAAACTATATTGCAGTTCTGGTCGGCTGTGCGTTTCTCGGCTCCATGCACTACTGTAACCCATTGTAGTGTGCAGCAAAAAAACTAAAAGAGCGTATCAAAGACTGCAATACTTGCATTCCGCACAAAAAAGATAACTCTTTAGTTCTGCTAATTGGTTGGTGTGTTTTAAGTAGTTCATCAAACTACGCTGAAATCACCTCACCAAATTTTACATGGAGGTCCTTCATTCAGGGCCCACGGGAAGGACTGCTGTAAATCCAAATGTTGCAGGCCCCTGCCTGGATGCTTAAAATAGGGTTTGCATCGATCGTGTCTTGTATGCGGATACTTTCGTGGCTGATAGTCTCCAAAGAACCCTCATCCAAAAGAACAGCCTGGGCGGCTGGCTTTGTTGGGTCCTGCTCAGCTGATGTGAAGCAAAGTCTCTCTCCTTGAGTTGGTACCCCCAATAGCGGCGCGCGGTCAGGCCAACCGACTGTCTCTTGTATCTCTGCAAGCAAATCTTTCATTCTCGAAGCCCACTTGCATGGAAGAAAAACTAGTCCAAAGGCAACATTGTTTCCTTCGGTGACCACAGGCTCTGGTATCATTTGGCAGCTAGGGATGCTTTGATCTTTCGGCAACGAAGCCTGTGCTGCCTTGGAGGTGTGAATCAGCCGAGGATGCTCATAAGTTTGCTGCCATTCACTAATAGCTTCCTCCAACGCGTTCCCCAACGTGGGCGCAGAAGAGCATCCAACATGCCAGCCAGAGCCACTCCTCAGCCCCACTACCAAACAGTCTCGCGATCTTCTGTTGGCACTGCGAGACGCGCCCATCGAAGATGCTAGCTTTGCCCAAGAGATGCCAAGAGCCAGAAATGTTGAAAAGGGAAATTGGAACTTTGACATGTCCTGAGTTTGCGTGATCGTTTTCATACCATCCTGTTGCGCTTTTGAACGGTATGCTTTTGGCGCTCCAAGTAGTCCAAGTTCCTGCTTTCCTCCTTCACGCTGTGGTCGAAGGTGCTGACCATTGACCACAAGGCTGATGAGGCTTGCCATTCTTGCAACTATTGCATCAACAGACTCTTGACTCTTGATCCACAAACAGCAAAGCTGATGAGAAGGCGGATCTCATGCCATGTTATTGTAATATACAATTTGCACGCAAATAGATTCAGGCACCACAGCTGCAGCAGCTCCAAAACCAACAACTAAATATGTTTCCATTGCTCCACGGCAGCCTCCTCTGCACGGCGAACATCCAGGTATTTCCACCCGGACTTCAGCAGGTCCATGGCCTGAAAAGGTAGCCATGAGTCATGAGTCATAATCAATTCATGTTTACTCTCTAGATTTCATGGCACGCGCGCACAAGGTGCGCCTGAAAACAGCATTGTGATGTTGCGATGTTCACATGAAAGCCTCTCTACGAGAGTTCACTACACAGCAACTCCACTCCCTGACACCCTCCACATATTTAATTAACATGTTTTGATATTTTTTTGCATACACTGGCCAAACAAAAGTTGTACTTCTTCGCGTTGAAAATGACCACAAACCCTTTTCTCCGGACCTTAAAATCCATTTTCACACTGACAAGCCTTTTATTGTGTTGGATTCAAAGAAAGGAGTGTGACGATTGACAGTCCCACACCTGCTAAACAAATTGGACCTGTCAATGCGATCCGCAGCTTACCCACAGTTCTTTGTCAACAAAAAGGAGAAACATAAATGTTGGATTGAAGTAAGCACATCTATATATATATAGTTCTATTGTTTGATCATTCTACAATGCCAAATGCGTGCGTGTGCCAAAGCGAACATCTGCCAGAGTCAGGACCCTTGTCCGTGTATTCCAAAGCCTCCACGGCAATGCTCCGGCCTCTGCGCTTGCAATACTCTTGAAGCGGCGCCTGAAGTCAGAAATCGCCCCACACAGCTTTTCACAACTGTCCACATTGGTCACATTCGGTAACATCCGTCATTGCAATGGAGAGAACATAAATGGATCATGTGCCAAGGCTGCAAGCTTAGGGCGAAGCACCGTGAAAGCTTGCAAAGGCCGGTAGACCTTACATTATTGACTCAACTGATATCAATGTGAACGCAAATGCTGTTTCAGGATCTCCTTCCAGAAGCTGTTGCTCAGATCGCAACTCCAACCTTTGACACAGATCCAAATGTTGTGAGGTTTCCTGGCTTTCAACTACTAACCCAAATAGGGGTTGTCAGACTGGCGCTGGCGCTTGAATTTGTGGGGAAGTTCGCATCGCTAGGGAGGACCTGATGGAAATTTTCAGAGGACAGCTACCTAGGGCCTAGGGTGATGCCAAAAAATTGCGCTCACAGACTGCTTTCAGAGCTCAAAAGTATTATTGATGAATCTAGTAAACAGGACTGGTTTCTATTGTGCAGTAGATGCGTTGGTTTCACATGTGAAAAATAACCAACTACGAGCTCGGCAGGCTATTGTCAATTCCCGCTTGCCTCCATTCTCTTGAAGGGCCAACCGGGCCACCAGGCCCATTGCCAATCCAGCCGACCGCCACGAGCGGCACCACATTTGGGCACTTGTGTTCAGAGATGATCCCAGCGCTGGATAGAATTGCGTTTTTGTGGCAAACTGTCACTGAAACTCTTGCCACGAGGCATCTGCGGTGATACAATACATCTACTGTATATATCTGCATCCACGCCTGTGTCCGTCAACAACCGTTTGGCTACTTGCCTTGACTGCATTGGCCGCAAAGTACGCAAGTCACTGCTTTGTCCTGCCCCCTGCTTGGTGAAATGACCCCAGCAAGTACTTCAGGCATGTTTCTGGTCCTACACATTTGGGCACGGCGTTCATCAAATCATAGGGAAAATGGATCTGAAACATGCCTTCGCAAACCCCAACTAAACACCAATCAAGCTTGAAGGAGACAAACACCAAGAGCATTGTGAAATGTTTCAGGGCCAAACGAAGTTGAACCACAAAGCAGAAAATTGATGTTTTGTATTGTCGACACTTGGATCTGCTTTTGAAAGTAAGTGCGAACCCCGCAGGGGTGTTCTGGATGACAATTGGTTCGGACGTTCCAAGGGCTCTTCCAAGACTCTCCATTTGGGAATTGAATTTTGCAACGGCGGTCCGCCATGGTAAATGACGCATCTGGAGCCGTGGCTTCTAGCCCGCACAGCATCATGGACACCAATGTCGTTGTCTTTAAAGCGCCAAGTGACAGTGCAAAATGCTGCGCGCCATGAGTGCACTGTTACGTGCACCTTTTGTGTCCCTTTTCAAGCAGCTTCTTACGCAAGCTCCAGTGTATAGAAACTCAGCGAGGATTATCTCATTGTCTTTCCATCTTGCAAGCGGGCAACCAGGTTGACCAATGGTGGCATGAAATCTATCCAAGACTTCAAGACTGGGATAGACCTGCGAGGAAATGAAGCAAACCAGTCGCCATCCATCGCCGCTCACCGTCTTGCTGCTCGGAACTTCTCTAAGAATGACCGCTTTGTCATGGAGCCTCTCATCTGCCATCGAAGTCTTCACACTGGATTTCAGAGGCCAGTTTCTCAAGCGCTTGTTCGGAAAATCTCAATTTTTTTGGCACTACTACTTTTCTGTTCGGCATCACCTTCACGATCACGCACTGCAACAACTCTGTACCTTCACCGAGACTCATTTTGACCCTTGGGGAGACTCAAGTAGAGTCAAGATCCGTGGTCCTCCACGGCAATCAACCTCAGAAATGGGGATGAAGCTAGCACAATGCACTTTCCAGAGATTCTTCCACTAAAGCCTTGCTGCCAAAGGGCAGCCGTAAAAGGGCAAGGCGTTCTGCGTGGGCTGCGCGATCATGGCCAACCTTACTGGTCAGCGAGCCCTACCGTTCTACCCATGCTTTGAATCAGCGCTCTATGTGGAAACGGGCACCAGCACCAGGTAACAAAAAACAAGAACACTTTAAGATTGGTCTGGAAGGCCTACTCGTAATATGCAAATGATGCAGCCCACTCTGGGCCCAACCAAAGATACAAAAAATGAGCCTGTGATAGGAACGACCACAAGGTCTTCAATGGTCTTCAACCATACAATTCCGATCAGTTTCCAAAAAATCATTAGTGCGAGCACTTGTTCAAGGAAGCTCTCCCCTCCTGGCTCAGAAAGAAAGTGGTCCTGCTGTGCTCAAAGCTGTGGGCCCTACAAAGGCTGGAATTAAGCGTCCTTCTCCTGCACAGAACGAGCTCGATTTAGAAGCCATAAACCTTTTGACCTTGTGCATCTAAATGGCCTGCAGGTCCATCGCCATAGTACCCAATCCGGCTCCGCACGAATACCTTACCGCCCAAGAGATTGGAATTCTGACGAGAGGGTATCTAAGGATCCTTTGCGCTCAGACTCACACCCCCTCACTCGTATTCAAAACTGCAGCTATCCACGCAGCAAGCTCCATGGACACCGGGTTCAAAATGTTGGAAAGTGTGGCCAAACGAGAGAGCCATCTTGCCTGCAAAGGACCAAGCAGGCACCTTTGCTGCCTTTGCTTGAGAAGTGCAATTTCTCACAACTTCATCGGGGATTGGAGGTCGTGAGTTGTCATGAGGCACCTTCATTGTCAATGTCAGGGCTATTTGGAACTCTGCGGGGTCACATGAGTTGACGAGAGATCTCTTTCTAACGGCTTCACTCGGAAGCACCTGCGGCTGCCATTGCTCTGAAGCGTCGAACAAATGGAAGCGGCGACCGAGACTTGTTTGCCTCCAGCTCAATCAATGCGCTATGGCCGAGACAATGCGTTATGGAAAGCCACTCTTGAGTGTGCCATAAGACTCATGACTCCCGAACCTCTGCAAAATGGGTTCTTGAAGCTGATGGTCCTTCCCTCGGTCACAAAGGTCAACCATGGTCAGTGCGCGCAAGTGTTGGACAGAATGAAGCAGCAATGTCAGCTGCAAAAGAAGGAGCTGATACTGCTTCTTCGAAGTTCAGTTCGCAAAAACGAGTTTAGTCATTGGGTCTTGTCTCCGCATCAACTACATTGAAGGCAATCAACCTTGACAGCACTGGGGCTAAGTGATATCAGCATGTATACACCAAAAGTCTAACAAAGAACTCGTATATGTGTTTACACACATATATATATATATGTAAAAAACGTCGGCTCAAGGCAGCTCTATTCTACTCTGGAGCTTGTGGGTTCCACACTTCTAAGGCCTCATGGCCTTCCAAGAACTCACCCTGCATTTGCATCGAGCAGGGCAGAGCGGGCGGGGCCCTTGAGCATGAGATGCCCAAAACTCTCAGCTTTAAAGGTGCAAAGCATCGGTTCAAAGCAGCTCTGTTTTACTCTGCTGCTTGCAGGCAGGTTCTACACTTCTAAGGCCTCATGGCCTTCCAGAACTCACCCACCTCTTCCCGTACCATCAGCCCTCAAGGGCTCGTCTCGACACAGAAGCCGCCGCGCGGAAGCAGGGATTTTTGTGCGACGGAACTGATCAGCCTTCAACAACGACATCACGAGCATCTACTGTTCATCCAACAATGTCAACAGGAACTGTGTAGAACCAACCTCCTTCGCGTAAGTCTCCATCACTTTACCATTCACCGCCCACGCCGTTGAACAAAGCTGTAACCTGAAGTTGCCACGTTGCACCGCCGGGTCTGAGCGACCTGACGTCCAGACTCTTGGAAGTCTGGCTAGCGCCGGCGTGCAACTTCAGGACAGATGCGCGCTTGTCCAGGAAGCTCTCTGAAAGCAACTTGACACAATCTAACAAGGTCTGCTATATCGCACTTGGCACATTGATACCTGCCTGCAACAAACCGAGTCTTGGGCTCCTGCAATGATAGGAGGATGAACGGGTTGGTTCCCAGATTATCTGAAGGCAGCAGTACTCAGGTCTATAGGCTCTATAGGATACAGGATACGACACTGTTGATAGACTCGACATAAACGTCTTCCGGCTTCATAAAGTCGACGCGGAAACTGCTGTCGCAACACATTGTTCAATGCTTCAATGTTCCGTAACAATTCATTTCTGCAGTTCCTTTAGCGAGGGCCTCCCTT